AAGGAATTATGAAATAAATCCCCTAAAATTAATTTGCTCATTTCTAATCATTCTATTTTGCATGGGAGAATTGTCACACAAAATATGGAACACATGGTATACACCAGAACCAATCTCTAAGAGATAAGCATGCCACCAAGATTTAAAAAAAAAAAAAAAAAAAAAAAAAAACTGATATACTCATAATCTCTGGATCATATAAACAGAAAGAAAATGGTTAGTGGATTCACGAAAGTATCAGTCACACTTACAGCAAGGTAAGCATGTAAGTCATTTTCAATACTAAAGTGATTAACAAGCAACAATGATGTCTGACTCTTTTGACTCAAGGTATCTGAAATGATGAAATATGATTTTATGTACTAATTCCCAGACAACTCTGCACCTGCCCACAAAGTTTCTGATCTTCACTATCCTAACTACTATCTCTAAGTAAGGGCTCCTTCTTAGACCTATTTATATATTGGTGATTTTTTTTTCCCTTTTTGACCTTATTTCAAACAAACATTTCTGAGGTAAGAAATACTTCACAAATGCACAAATAGGCACTCAAATACTTGCTGACTTAATAAGATATTCAAAGCCCATATATGGGCAATCAAAAGTACAATGCCATCACTCTTATCAACCAGTCTTTACCGAGAATGTACCATGAACAAAACAAGTTTCTAATAATTCAGAAGAAGAAAGAAACACACTGTGTCTATTATCAAAACCATTAGTAGTTATACAGTTATTATTACTGTTACAAGATAAGAAAACACCAGCAAGGGCTCTGACTGAATTCTTGGGAAACACAGAATCTAACAAAATATACATTGTTAAGTCTATAATGATTTCTGTTTATTCTTACATTAAATGAAGGGAATAATGTATACAATTTTAAAGTTTTCTCCTAATTCTGAAAGTATTTCTCTGATAAGCTACAAAATAATAGCAAATGGAAGAATTAATTTCTGAACATGTACTTTTATAGGAGCAACAGAATACTATTATAAATGTACAAGGTAATTAGAATGTCTTATCTCTTAGATACAACCCCTGCACAAGCTGAAAGTCAGTTAAGACCCAAAACAATCAGAAATTTAAAAATCTTTTGTAAAGATTCTGAAAAAAAGCATAAATATTGCTTGCTAAATTTTAAATGTAAGAATAACCAGTATGTAATCAATAAAGATGAAGTCATTAGGATGTCCTCCTAGGAAAAGAAGAGACAGTGACACACAAAAAGAATACCATGTACCATAGGCTGAGACTGGAGTGACTCAGTCTACATGCCAAGAAAAGCCAAGGAGCGCGACAACACCCGAAGGTAGCAGAAGGGCATGGCACAGTCTCCCTAACATTTAGAGAGGGCAAGGCACTGCCAAACATTTTGATTTCTGATGGCTGTCCTTCAGGACTGAGAATATAAATTGTTGTTTCAAGCCACTCATTTTGCAGTAATATTCTACAGTAGCCCTAGGAAACTCAGATAGGAGTTAAGAAAGATGCAGGGCCCATAGTATTCATTTCCTGGTCTACAACAACAGACTGGATATAGTTTTGGCCCCTTAGAACTTTCCTATCTTAACTGTGTTTTTATCTGGACAGTGACTTTACCAGTTTAGATTGGCAGTTTTCTTCTCAAAGCAGCAGCAACTTCCTTGCTGGCCTGATAGCTAAGACACTTTGCCAAAGTTTGACCTTCATAGCCATCAATTCTATTAAAATACTGTGGAATAAATTTTTTCTACTAAAAAAGTACTCTACAAAAAAGAGTAAATGGGAGCGTTATATAACAGAAGGTAACTGTTATTATCAGCTGATATTTTAAACCCCCAAAGACATAAAACAACAAAGTGAAGTTGAAAACAATGTGCTATTCAATGATCAAAATATTTATGAAATGTGAAAATCTTACTAAAACTTTATTTTAGTTGTATTTTAAAAATAGAAAGAAATATCCATTTTCACTGACTACCACACTTGTCATTATACTATTCTGAACATGTTCAAACAAAACATAAAGAAAACTTTTAAGAAAGTGAATTTATAGGTAGCCATAAGATATGTGAATAAATTTCTATAACACCAACCCATCAAAGAACATATTTTGTATAATACTTTTTAACTCACATTTGATTGTTGACTTACAAACCATGCTCAAAAATAAACTGTTTGGGTTAACGATATGCTACATGCCTAAAATAAATTACCCATTATCTAGTTCTGGGTATCTTTATGACAGTATATAAACAGCATATTATTCTACTATAAGTAAATAAAAACTAGATACAAAGGTAATGGGAGATTTGGAGTTCTTGTATTTTGAAGGCATGATATATTTTTAATAACCAGCTCTATTGAGATTTCCCAAACATAACAGAGGACATTTGCTCTATATAATTATAAATACAATAAAAATGGTAATAGTTCATTTAAGTAAATGTTTGAAGATGGGGAAAATATTTCAAAAAAAAAAGGAACCATAATTATAACTATGCTATAAATAACATTTTTAATTTTGCTACTTTTGCATCAGCATTTAAATATCTTTTTGCAACGTGTCTTTTTACACCCTGGAACAGTGGCAGTGAACCAAAGATAACCCATGCAGCAGTGGACTCTGTATCACTGAAAGCTCTAAAAGGTTCACCATTACTGGCCCAGAATACTGTACAGGTCCCAAGATTCCTGTTGTTTTATCTAATGAACATGCATCACTGCCTTTTCTCATCCTGCAAAAAATAGCTGCAGAATCACTAACTCATAACCATTAAATTATGAATATGGAAATCACAGAGCAAAGAGAAAGGAAAATTCAAGCAGAGCAAGTACGAACATCAGGAGAATTGCTAAGTATCTTGTCCAGGCAAGATTGAGCCAAAGCAGACTAGTTAACAGAGGACCTGTCATCAGAAGAAACTACTAACTGAAGAGTTTGCCACCCCCAAATACTCTTAAAAAGAGGAAAAGAAGTGAAATGAAATTCACTTACTAAACCATTACTGCACGTTTACAAAACATTTATTTTTTTCAAGGCAACTTCACGAGTTAAGAAAACCATAATCTGAACAAACTAACCAAGATCGTAAAATAGAAACTGAACCTAAGGCATTATGCCTAGTTATTCTCACAACATGGGAAACTGAGAAAATGCTAAGATGTGCAGAGGAGGGTCTAAGAGTCTGAAGAGGCTGCTGGTAGCTAGAAGCAACTACCCAAGAAGCTCTGAAACAAGCCAGGTCTTCACCTGACCTCCGTTATGATTAAGAGATAAAAATTCTCATACAGACAAAACCCACTCCTGGATGGCACTGAAAATTTCTTCTGTATAACTTCAAAGGTGTTTCACTTTCCACTCCCTTCCATTCCACTGCATCTCAGCAGTTATAACTCATCAGCCTACAACTCCTAAAACAAAAGGAGCAAGTATCTCCCCTCCCAAGGTCACAGACTCTAGACCTCTAAAGAATGGCTTTTTTTTTTTCCAACAGTAGTTTTCCACTGAAAAACAATGATTTTTACCAAAAAAAAAGTCTTGCATGAAAATTAAGTCTATTTTTCTTGAAAATAAAAATAACAATAAATAGGTCCACTTTCTTACTTGTGTCAGAAATTCACTCTGTAGGCGACAAAAGTCAGAGACAGGCACACAACTCATTCAATATCACAAGATAGATCTGACATCTCCCAGGGGCGAAGGGTGCTGAAGAAACCTGAAAGGTGTACAAACCTGAGAGACTCATGTGTTTATCACTTCTGAAAAAAAAAAAACACAAAAACTGAGAATGCATTGTTGGGTACTACACTAAAGGAACTGGAGAAGATCATCAAAGTGTCACAAGGGTCTGAGAATCAAAAAAAAGTGACAAAACACTGCTTTAGAAAAATCCACATCGACCTAAACATGGAGACCTAGAATTACACCTTTAGTATGTTCTTCTAAAGCAGAAACCACTCAACTGTCTATTTGTATAAATAAAGGTTTGATGAAACACAACTATGTCTACTTTTACAGGAACTGTCTATGGCTACCAGCAGTGCAACAGAGACAACTTGTACAGCTCACAGACTCAAAAGCAGCCTGGAATGAAAAAGTAGGCTTTAGTAACTATCAACAACCACTGGTAATTTACAAAAAAAACTTACTCCATTAAGTAAAAGAAAACACATTTCTGAATTTTTATTAGCCACTCTAAAGAGTTGTGTTCCTTTATACACTGCTTAACCCTTTAGACAGCTTTCTCACAAAACAACTAAATGTAGAAACTCATTACATAAATTGCATGAAAGCACTACTATTTTTGGGGGGAGGGGGTACCTGGGCTCGAACTTGTGACATTGCACTTGCCAGGCTGGTGCTTATGCCGCTGAGCTAAATTCCAGGCCCAGCACTATTATTTTTATAAGTAAAAAAATAAAGTTATCCTCCTAAAAAAATACAAGAATGCCTCATGACTATCTTCATTCCCACTGCTTAGGCAAAACCATGAAATACAGTCTACCTATTTTCTTTAGAGTGAAAAAATACTTTGTGAAAATATGATATAGAGGGATAATCAAACTTAATTACTCAAAAAGAAATCAGCAGTTTTACAACTCTAACAGTGAATGGTATCAGATTTAAAACTCTGAACTGCCATTATATTCTACAAATACATATTTGGTACTTGATTACAATTCTGTAACCAAATGTTTTTAATTCATATTTCTCATAGATGAAAAAAAATGAGGGGGAGATTAAAACCTTTAAAGTATAAAACAAATACTTATGAAAACATTTTGCTATTTATAGAAAGCAGATAAAATAACTTACCAAAGCAAGTCAGAATACCAATCACACATGCCCCTTTTAAGACATCCTCAAGTATTACACTAAGTTTCCTATCATGTTTTACAAATGATGTAATAAAATACCTGCCTACACAATATTCAAATATTTGAAGGAACAATGAATTTCCTTTTGGTGAAGCCAGAAGTAGAGAAAGAGGAGTAGTCTTTGTACAATTGAAGATATGCGGTAAGTTTTTTTAAAACCAAGATCCATTTTTTAAAATATCAAAGGGACAAAATTTGAAAGAATTTTAGAATTTATCATATAACTAAGCAATGTATTTTCCTAAACTACATTAACCATTATCCTCTTCGGATGTCTTGATTGGTGACTACATTAGTAATAACAGTACATGGATGCACTTTAAAATATCAGGCAATTTCTAAAAAAATAGTATCAGGCTCCAGAACGAGTGCAGAAGTTTCTAATAATACCTCAGATCATACAGCTAAGTTGGAAAAAAGCTACAGTTCAATAAATGCATAATAGTTAAGAATATTTAAATGTTAGTAATAAACCTGAATGTTAAATTGTCTCAGTTTTAACAACCAGATGATTGGGACTGGGGTGCACAGGTTAAAAAATTAAATACTTATTCACACAAACTCTTAACTGCTATGCACTCTGGTCACTTAAAACTACAATGCTGATTTTTAACTTATTAAGCAAGTATGTTAATAACTGGTCTCAATTCTCCCCTCCTCCACTAGTATACTGCCATCATACCAGACATGCTTTCCTCATTCCTGAAGTGCTTTAATGGGCTGGAAACAAAATGCTGAAACTGTCCAGACAGGAAAACGTGTAAGGAAGAAAAGAACAGGGGAGTGCGACAGGTAGTAGTTCTGATTATAAAATGACTCCATATGCCTGAATATAGATAATCTTTATTTTTTTAAACGGCTAAAATTTTTTAACTGTGGCAACATTCCCAGGTGGCTGTGAAAACGTCTAACCATTTAGCTTCTGACATTTTCTTGGTTTTCATTTTTAGATTTCAGAGTAAAACCCCAATCTGTCAGATTATATTTAGTATGCTAGCCAGTTTCATTTTTTATCCACTATAGCTTCAGTCGAAATGGTGAGTTCAAAGAGCAGCCTGATCGCGAAATGAGAAATCTACGAGGGCTCATAAAAAACTTGATCCCCGCTCCCTCTTTATTTTCCAGTAGGATTTCACAAGACTGTCTCAGTTTAGCGTGCCCCCTCCCGCTGACATCCTTGCGGTGGAGGAACTAGTGTTCCCTCCGCCTAGCCCAGAGCCGGAGTAGGAAGTACCCACCCTTCCAAGAGAGAGCTGAGTCGTCCTCGCCGCTCATTGGCTGTCGGGAACGTCAGCGCCCTGGAGGGCGGGGTCTCCTGCCAGAGAGCAGAATCAAGGGCTGGCACCTACCGCTGGGTCCCAGGATTTCCCAGTCCCTTCTTCTCACTTCCCGAAAACGCAGATAGCCTCCATAAACAGTTTCTTCACCTTTCTATTTCGGCAACCGCCCTTTTAGGGGCCACATACATTTTAATCCTCCGACTCCACCAGGAACCAAAGTAGAAAAGATCTAACACCGCTCCCCTACCCTAAGAAAGTTCCCAGTTCAGGATCAAATACAGGATGCTGCGGTTTTAAGAGAGAAGCAAACTGAAAACTGATCTCTCCTAGAGTAGCAAAAGATTCCTTCCTCTGAAAATAAAGTAACTACTTAGGTTGTATGTTAACCAATTCCAACAACCGAAAGTTTATTAACCTTTGCCAAGTGTTACACCCAAGAAATCTCCGCATCCATTTAGCAAGAAATGCCACAATCATTACAGGGTTAATTTTATGCCGTGTTCAACTGTTCACTGTTTTCAGTGTGACCGGCTGTTCCAAACGTTCCATAAGCTCTGTGAGTGCAAGCACTGTGCCATTTTCTTTGATCACATGAGCAACAGCTCATGGCCCTGGACAAAGCATATTCATAACACATTACACTCCGCACATTTTCTGTAATGGAACTTGACATTGTTATCTTCGGCAGGGAACGCTGCATAGTATTTGAAAGAAGAAAGAATTAGAGTGCTTCTAATTATGTTACAGTAAGGTGCATAATGCTCTACAAACTCTAAGTATCTGATGGTTCTTTTCAATTGCATTCTTAAAATCAGTAATCTCAAAGAAAAAGTGATTTCATTGTGGTAATATATTTTTGATTTTCAATTCAGTCACCAGAATTGCTAAAGAACAAAAGCATCTATTTTACTGTATAATAAGCATTTTTTAATTGTTAACCCTATCAAAGAATACATCTAAGTGTACACGATTCACCTGTTGACACGTCATCTTTCAGGGCCTACAGTATAAAGAAGAGGCAAAAAGAATTTTTTTTTCAATTTCTCACTACATCCTCCAGATTGGGTTGACTTTCTGACTGTGGGGTCATGCGGTCTTCATTCTTCTCCTTTTGCCTCTGTGCTTCCCCTTCTTCTGGCTTTGCCCTCAATTTTCCAATGTATTTCTTTTTCATTGCCACCATCTCCACCAATGCTTTTCACTGCCTCGCAAACAGTCCCTCCGACATTTTCCAATCCTAGGACTTGCTAAAAGTTATTTTCCAACAACTCTCTAACCCTCCCTATACTTCTCAAGCCACCTGGGATTCTCTTTGGATTCTCCCACCACCCAATCTCTTCCAGTGAACTTCACTTTTCTAAATTGGGCTTCTGTCGAATCCTGACAGATGGATTTAACCAATCGGCGAAGGAAAAATAGCCGACGCGGCCAATAAGCTTCCGCCGGAAGGCGGGGTCTTTGCTTAAGTTCCTCAGGTCTTGAAACCAAAGACCTGTTGCCGCCGCCGCGCCGTGGCCGCAAGTTTCTTAGTTACGGCGTGCCCACAAGGTCTGGGCGGCTACAGTCCATGCCGGGTTCGGAGTTCAGCCACGCGCTCTGATGGGACCACAACCAGCCCAAGCCACGCTAGTCCGACCGCGGCCAGGCCCGCCCCGCCCCCCAGGACCCCAGGCCTGGACGCTAAAGGCCGCCGCGCGGTTCGGGTCCGACTCTCACTCCTCTCCGACCCGCGCACGGTCCCGCCGGCCGGGGCCTCCCAGCCCAGGCACCCGAACCACAGTCAGAGACTCACCAGGAAGTTGCGAGTGTTCCGTTCTCCCGCCCTCGGGAGACTCGAAGCGAGCAGGGAGCTCGGCCCGGCGCCGCCGCGGAAAGGCCCACTGGGCCGGGGACGAAACTGCGCGGCCCCGAGCCGGTCGGCCACCTCCCGCCGCGCCGCCCCCGCGGACGCTGCAGGCGTGGGCACCCACCCAGCGCACGGCGAGGCGCGGCCCCAGAGCGAACCTAGCGGCGGCCCATCCTTCGGTGACTCCGGCTCGTCTTCGCGCGGCGGCCGCTGTCAGGAGTGTAAACATCCCGGCATCCCCGAGGAGGGGGTGGGGCAAGCGCAGGCCCCGCCCCCTCCGGCCGCCAGGCCCGGGCCCCTAGCAACCCCTCTTCGCGCTGGGGCGGAGCGCGGTGGAGCACAGCGCTCCTGGGCCGCGGCTCTGCGCCCACGCCCTCCTCCGCGCGCTGTGGGCCGGGTTCCACCAAGGTAGGGAGCGGCTGGTTTGTAAGAATTTAAGTTTTCTTCATTTATATTTTTATGCTCCCATTTGGAAACAGTGAGCTGACTTGGTGACACCCCCCTGTCTCCTCCGGACCGCAGTTTTGATCCATCCTCTTGCCAGATGGTTTAAACTATCTCTTCCTGTAACAGTGCAGGGAAATGAAGCAAAGAGGCGTTTTTCTCAGTCAGGCTAAACCAACATAGGCTTTTAGAACATTTCCGAAAGGCAAAGTACCTGGTGTAGTTACCCAGGATCTTTGAAATACGTACGTATTTATATAATGATGTGACATGCGTATTTATACATAAGTATTTATATATGCCACACACGCACACCTATTCCCCAGAATCCTATCATGTGTAATTTTAAAACATGCTTTGAATCCAAGGGCTTCACTGCTTTAATAACAGGAAATAAACTTCTGGAGAAGATTGATAGGAGACAGTATGGAATCAGCCAGACCTCAACCCTAATCACAGCTCAGTGATTAACTTTGTGACCTTGCACAAATCTCTCCAATTTCTCAGTGTAATAGTACTAACCCCTGTCTTTGCCGCCCCCCCCCCGCAAACAGTTAAATGAGATAGTGCAAAGTGCTTAAGTAGAGACTGCTTTAAGAAATGCTGTTTGAATCGTTGTTATTATTTGTAGATCTTTGACTACATTGATTTCCCTGACAAAGGGACTAAAACAAAGATAAGTAGATAGCTCAAATATTTAAAATGTCAAAGCTATGGAATTAAAATTTGGAAAGTTAAATTTAAGAAAAGATAATTCAGCTTTTGAAGAAACACTGATTGAAGCGACTTAAATATTCATGAATGTGCTAGGAAAGGAGGATGCAACTGTTTGCCAAGATACAAAGTCCCTGCTCTCATACAGTTTACATTATAGTGAGAAAGGCCAAAAGAAAAAAAGTCCAATAAATACTTACTGTGTCAGGTGATGAGTCACAGAAAAATAAAGCAGGGTAGGGAGACATTGGGAAGGAGAGTGCTATTTTAAATGTTTATCTGGGAAGGCCTCTCTGACATTTGAGAAGAGACCTGAAGAAGTGAGAAAATGAGACATGTGGCTGTCCAGAAGAAGAGCATTTTACACAGGGGAGCAGCAAGTGCAAAGACCCTGAGTGGAAGTGGAATTGGCATGTTTGCAAGAATAGCCAAGAGGTCAGAAAGCTAAAATTGGAGAGCACGGGGAGAATAGCTGGTGAAGTCAAAAAAGTGGGTAAGGCTCAAGCAAAGGACAGAGCAGCAACCTTGTAATCTTTCTAATGTATTCTAAATGAAGTAGAGCGCTATTAACGAGTGAACAAACCCGTATTGAGTCGAAAAAAACTAGCTGCACTGTGGAGAGTAGACTGGAGGGTAGGAGTGACTAGAAGTTAGGAGACTGTAGTAATGGTCTGTGCAAAATGTATTGACTTAGACCAGAGTGATGACAGTGGAAGTAGTAAGAATGGTCAGGTTAAATATAACTCTAAGACAGCACCAAGACTTCCTGATATATTAAATACGGTCTTAGAAAGCAGGTAAAGATGAAGCCAGTGACGTTGGCATTTGAACCAGGACACCTTCCAGATCACACCACACCAAATCAGTCAGTGAAATAACAAGTGCTGCTTGAGTCATGCACAGGCACACTTTGCAGGAAAAATAACCAGATATTGTCAGGATGAAGACATTTCAGCCTGAGGCCAGAGACATGAGTAAGGTTTTACTTGCTATCTTTTACATTATCTGTTAGAATATATAGACTGATTTGAGATCAATAAGGTAACCTATTTATATAAACTACACATCCATCTATAAACTAGATATTCTGCTGATACAAGTAAAATGCATATATTACGCAAACATTGATTGATGCTCACATGGATCAAAAATTAGTTCATGAAGACATTTTGGCTGCAAGGACTTTATCTAGGAAGAGTCTTGTCAGTGGCTATATGATGTGCAAAGTATTAAAATAATCTGAGTTGTATTTCTACATTTTAAAGAACTACTACTACAACTAAATAGTAATACAGCATTTCAAAGGTTGGAAAAACTCAAAACTCAATCCACTGCATTTCTGTTTGCAACTTTATATCACTTTTGTAGTAGATGGGGAAAAGTCCTCCAAGCCATCTGGCCTGGCAGGAACAAATGCTAATAGAAATGCAAATAGCCTGCCCAAATAGCGCCCTCCAGTCCACAGATCATTAGAGCAGAAGTCAGTTCTAAATGAGTTTCTATTCATTTTGCTACCAACTTACTCCAGAAATGCTGCCTTGGTTCCATGAAACCCACTATTTACAGTCCTTTATATAGTGTTTATACCTAATTGCCATGCAACCCATGTCATTAACTATCAAGTGAACATTTGTGTAATAGTATTTGATTATTATACTTAACACAGTTTACACAGTTTTCATGAGTTTGTTGTTTCCTTTTTGTTTCTGTTTGTCTATATAGCTTTGTTGACCCCACACAAGCAAAAATTAGAGGTGCTAGTGACTATCAAAACCTTTTTTTCCCTCTATAAGCTAACCGAAAGCAGATGTTATATACCAGATTCTGTGTAAATGCAATTTCCCTGTAAAGAGAGAAGCTTGATGGGAAAAAAAAATTTCCCTAAAGAAGAATAATGAAGTGATATTAAAAATAATTCTCCTTTGAAAGAGATCCTAGCTGCTGGCCTAGACCAGAACGGTCTAGCCTTCTTTCCTCAAACATAGTGCTGGCAACAGGTGTTTTTAAAAAACTAGTAGTGATATTGGCAGCCACTGAATTTGGCAGCTAAATTGTGATGAGGCTTAGTCAAGCTGTTGAAATATCTGGACTAAACTAGGCCAAGAGGAGGAAGTCAAAGTGCAGACTGCAGACAACTCATGGGAGATCACTTTTCTCTGGCCTGAATATGGTCACTGTACAGTGTCAGAAAATAAATCTTTATCTTGCTTTGAAAACACCATTGAAAAATATTAGAAATTTATTTTCCCATCTTTCATGGTCCTTTGCAATTGATTATTAATAATCAGGCAGATGAGCTTCACATGAAAACAGTAAAATCAACCTTAATTTTATACTCACGTCAAATCCCTAGAATTCAAACTCACAGAAAGATAACTCTGCTAAGTCCTGATCTACTTACGATATTTTGAGAATACAGTTCATAGTTTAAAATAGTGTTATCCTGACAGTGACTTTTTCCTAGCTGTTTTTGCAGTAGTTATAAAACTGAGAAAGATTTTAGTATACCATATATATTGTTAACACAAGAAAGTGTAATATTTTATATTAGTTGCAAAACAAGGAAGAAAAAAACAACTAGCAGTTTGTATTTATATAATGATTCCCTGGGTCAACAGAATGCAACTGAATTTATGTTCTTTGCCTCAAACTATAAAAGCCAAAGGACCAACATGCAGTAGGCAGTAAGTCATGGCCATGAAGGAAATATATTCAGAAACTATTTCCCTTTTTATTCTCTTACACTATACCCTTGATGTGGAGCCAACCTGGGAAGCCATTTCACAGGACATAATTTTCTCAGCAGTAGTGGCATTTTTAGTGACCACCAGTGTTCACAAGCACCCTTTAATTATCTGTGCTTGACAGAGAGCTGGGATGGTACAGTAATCACATTTCAAAATATTTTTTTGAACTAGAAGTTTCTTTGGCATATTTTGTATGCTGCATGTATATATGTGTATAACAGGAAAAAAATGTTATAAATACCCCATGATTTCACAGAGCTAAATGGAAAGATCTTAGAATTGTGTAGTTTCCCTCTTCTCTCTCCACCTACTCCTCCTGACCTACCCTCTCTTATATCCCTCCCTCCAGCCATGGAATGCACCAAGGCCACTTAGACCAGAGCATTAGAGATAATGGTCTATTTCCTAATGGAAAAGAAAGCAGAAAATAATAAATAGTTCCACTTACTTGTAACATTTCCTCATAGTTTATCTGGAATGCTACTGTAAAATTACATACTCAAAAGCAAACCCCTAATAAAATCAGTATAGTAGAAGTGCAAAGTTACATTCAGTATTGCTTTTATCTTTCTAACTCACTTTGTTCATACTTAAACCTTGTTTAATACATTTGTTCTGCTTGTTCTTCAGATGTTCCACTTTAAAATCCATTAGTAGTTATTTCTTCAGTTCAATTATAGTTGTAATGTTCAATCTCTTTGAAAACACAGAATATGTATAAAACTAGATTTGGAACCATGCCACATCATAGCCAAAGGTATACCGAAAGCAGGCTCTACACTCCCTCTGTAACACAAGCATAGTTAATCATGAACAGCTTCCACCTCATCCATAATTCTGCCACTGAATTCACCATTAGTTAATACTCAAAATATGAAGATACTTCATTTCTTTTATTACTGTCATATTAGTTTTTTCATGCAAAAAAGCTTGAGAATAAAGGGAAGCACAGAGATGTTTGAAAACTTCAAGTACCATCTCTTCCTAATAGGAAAGGACAAGAACCTTTAAATTCAAAAGTCATTGAAGTACTGTACTGGTGAAAACAAGCCAATATTTATCCATGGGGTTATAAGATCATCTGTTCTTTGGAAGGATAGAAGACAAACAGGAGACTATCACCCATGGAAACTACAAACAATTTTAATTGGATAAAGTATTGTTATATTTTCCAATGAGTGTTATTTATTACTATATAACTGACAAATTTAATCTATAGGATTTTTTTGTTATTTAAAATCATGTATATTGAATTGTGTATATTATCAAATTTTAAAATAAATAACTTAAATCTTTGCATGTAGCTCAGTGGTAGAGCTCTTTTCTAGTATGTGTGAGGTCCAAGGTTCAGTGCTCAGCACTGCCAAAAACAATTAAAATGGTACATGCAACCAAAATACTCAATTATTTGAGTTCTAGTTTTGTTTTTTCTTGTTCAAATTGAAATGTAAAAATAATCACTTTTTCTGAAGATGTAAATAAAATATTACTTCATGCTCTAAA